GAATAGATTCTCTCCCTTTCCAGGACCTAGTGTTTTTTTAGAGCTTCAGCTGTCACAGATGTTTTTGGTGTCACAGGCTTGTCATGCAGGCAACAGCAGTACATGGTATTTTGTTGGTGTTGAAAAAGAAATTTTTATAGTTTCTTTTTTTTTTTTTTTTTGTTCTAAATTCACATTAAATAGTGAAATTGTTTAAATAGGCCTGTTTCTGTATCAGCTTTTTAAGTTCAAGATGTTTTACCACATATCCTATATGTTTTGATGCACTTGGTGGACAGAAAAATCCAGTTTATCTTGGACAGCAGTAGCTGTTACAGTTATCAGAGGATTAAGAATTTGGGGGAAAAAAGTTTATCAGTGCTATGGGCTTTATAGTAAAGCAAAGTGAACTTTGCTTCCAGAGTTTCCCCTTTAGCAGCCTCAACACTGACTCTTTTTTTTTTTTGATTTTTCCCCCGAGTCATCCAATATTTGGCAGACCCGGCCAGTGATTTCAAGCTTTAGCTGTCACAAATTATTTATGAAGGGTGCTCGTGCTTCCAGCTTATTCCAGCCTTGGGCCGTGTGTTGCTTGCGCTTGTGTCCCTGCAAAGGGGAATATTGAGACTTGTCCTGACGCCCGGAAAAATAGGAAACCCAAAAGCTCGTGCCTGAGCCTCCATTAATGCGCTTTGCCATAAATATATTGAGTCTCCCAATTCCTCTTCTCCCACCTTTACTTTTTGGGTTTTCAGAGTCTGCATGCTTAGTGCGTGCACAAAACCTCATTGCTCACCATTAATTTTAGCATGTTCCTTCACTGTGCTAGTGAGTGAGCTCTGATGTGTATAAGGGCCACTGAGTTCCTGCAAAATATTAATCTACTTACTTACAAAGGACATAAGGCTTACTTTGTTTTATGACATTTCTTTACAGATCATGCCTTTCATGTTACAAGTAAAATTATGGTAGTGGGCTTGAGCAAAATCAGCCTGATTTGAATCCAAGTTTCTATTCAAATGTAGAAAATGCATAAAAATTTATAGAAAATATAAGGCCGAAAGCATTGCGGTTAAAATGTCATGAATTCTCAGCAGCGTGCAAGCCCTTCCTGAAGCATCCATAAATTTTGTGCAACACTTTCATGGGAGTTGGCAGTTATTTTTGACCTCTGGCTTGTAATGCATCCTCCAGGTTTCTGTCTCCGGTGGGATCAGCGTCCTGTTACTGCTTTCCTCCTCCTTGCCAAAGTCAGTACATCAGTGCAATAGTCCAAAGATAGCTTGGTGGTAAAGGCAGGTAAGCTTATAATTCGATGCTTTTTCGATAAGTATACTATTTCAGTAAGATATTAGATTTTTTTTCCTCTCTTTTAGCTTGTATAAATGACCTGTCTACATCGGTACAATTTTGATAGACTCTCTTCTACATGTAAACACCCAGCAATGCTAATTGTCTTTAAAGTAGATAGTGCAGAGCAAGTATTTATGGGTTACAGAGCACTTTTTGTGTGCTTTTTTACCATGGCCACATTAAAGTTCTGGAAGAGAGCAAAAGTTATTGTTCAAGTTATATGAAAGCTAGACTGCAGCCTTCTTAAGCGGTGTCTTCACGAAGCGACCTCCCTGCTGACGTGCTCTCATTACCCAAATTACAGTGTTTTCTCCAACGTGTGCTTTGAAAATTCGCTGTCCGCAAGAGGTGCCTTTCATGTTCAAGCAGAGCCAAGCTCGTGTGCGTCCGTGGCTGGAAGACCACAAGCAATTATCCTCATTAATGGTCCTTTGACCTACCACAACGCTCCGAGCTTATAGTTAACGTTATTATAAGTAAATCATGYGTTGCTCCTGGGATTTATGGGGCTCAAATTAGCAACCCTTCCCTTTCTCACCTCGCTAAGTGTTTTAGTGGTTGGTGGAGGCTCCTGGCGTTCGGGTAGCTCTACGAACCCGTCTCTTTTTGAGGTCCTCTTCCAAGGTCACGGGTGTTTTTAGCTCTCCATACGTCATGCTTGCCTGTCTTCTATCAGGCTACAACTGGTCTGGATACAAAATGTGCAATTCTTCAGTGCCTTACAAAGTCCAGGCAAGATAAGYGTCTATATAGGAGCAAACGGGCGCTTTCTGGTAGACATGGCAGTGCGGTAGACCTCTGATGGTAACTTTGTAGGAATTCATGCAGCTCGTAAGCTCGTGCAAGGAGAGAGGAGGTGGAAGGGCAGGTAGGTCTGCTCGAGCGAGCCGCCGTGTGCTGTTCGTCGTTCTCATGTGAGTCAGCAGTCTCTGATATCGAATAAAAATAGCAAACCTTCTCGTGCTAAGCTTTGAAGTCAAGTCTTAGTGAAGACTTATCTAGCTGCAGCTAAGTGTTTTTTTGCCTCCTCCAGAAAGGCTGATATGATGATAGTCCTCAGAGAGCTAAACAAAGAAACCCAACCCGGCACTTAACTGACATCATCCCTGCTGCATCTGTGCGTGTCCTAAATCTGCAGGAAAGCAGCTGGAGCTTTTCCCAGCTTATAATGTATGTCCTGCTACCAAGCGATGCGCAGTGAGTCCCTGCCAGATGTGTTTCGCTGTGACATAGTAATTTCTCTGCTTCAGATGGCGTGTGTTTAGGGATAATGCATTTAATGAAATATCAGGTGGGAAGCAATGCAGTATAAAGCAAGRCCTCTTTGTCTGAGGAGCTCAGAAATGTTTGTAATAAATGATGCAAGTGTCCGAATCCCGTGTGTATGGAGCTGGTGACTAGGGAGGAGTGTGAGCAAAGGATGAGCGTGTAAAACGTTGCCTCCAAATGCTCCTCATGCTCCCCAAAGCTCAGGAGCTCGGTAAAGCCCATGGGGGTCTGAACCTCGCGCTGTTGGCTGCTCCTCAGTCTTTTGCTGCTGTTCGGGAACTATCCTTGGTCATGCCCAGATGTCCTTGCTGAGGGACAGCACTCAGAGCTCGTTGGGTCATGCATTAAGTCAAGATGTTCATCGCGTAATGCTTACCTCCATTAAATTTCTCCTGCTGCTTTATTGCCTCTATTAGGGATGCGTAGGGTCCTCTACATTTCTTCACAGTTTTCCTTAGGAATAGCTGGAAAGGGTTCTAGGAAGCCTTGAGACCTCGTTCCTTACTATTTATCGGAGCCGCAGAGCTGAGAACCCCTAATCTGTCATTTCCTTTTTATTTGGGAGGGCAGTTAGGATGTCTTGTTGTTGTAGTTACTTAGTTTGAGCAAGAACTTGTTCATGAATGTGTTTCAGCCCTGGGAGCTTTCTTTTTGTGCGCTTTGGACAATATGTGATGATTAAAAAGTGATGTTGGATGACTGTGTTGACCATAACACTTCACACGGACATTAAATATGAACTTCTCTGAGAAGGTCRACATGCTGTGTGAAAAACCATTGCTTAGATCCTGACTGCTTGAAAACCCCTATAGAAAAATCCCCCTATAGAAAGMCCCTCTTCCCCAGRGAGGAGGGCTKTRYCTCCTTGAACCTGCCRTGGCACARGGTGTCTGGGCCACGGAACAACTCTGCAGTTAATGGTGGCCRTTTCATCCTGGTGGGAAGCATCTACGTATTTGGGGTATCGTGTGCCATAAATACATGTTAATAGGGGTATTTTTTTACAGGATGCATGTCAGAGCCAGTAAGTCACTCTGATGCAAGCTCCTTATCTTGAGAGCGTTGGAGCGCAGCACTGGGCACATCGCTCAGTGCCTACACTGAAMCTCTGCTTCCCTTCCCAGTGGCCATGACCTTGGAGCTCCTGAGAACTGGGCAATCAAATTGGTTTTTATTATTTTTGTAAAATCAAGGCTAGGCAAGTAACCCTTTTCAAGAATCATTCTAAATTTGGGCCTGTTCRACCTGAAGAAGAGAAGGCTGAGGGAGGATCTGATCAATGTATACAAATACCTTAAGGRAGGCAGTGAGGAGGATGGGCCGGCCTCTTTTCAGTGGTGGCCACTGGTAGAACTAGAGGAAACGGCCACAAACTGAAGCACCAAAAGTTCCACAGAAACTTAAGGAGACATTTCTTATCAGTGGGAGTAACAAAGCCCTGGCACAGGCTGGAGTCTCCTTCTCTGGAGATCTTCCAAACCTGCTTGGATGCAGCCCTGTGCCACATGCTCTAGGTGACTCTGTGTATGCTGGGGGGTTGGACTAGATGATCTCTAGAGGTCCCTTCCAACCTTAAGCATTCTGTGATTATATCATTTTATTCGGAAAGGTCTTTGTAGCAACAAGGCACGTTATCTGTTGGATTGGAGTAAACCTTAGAGATGAACCTTCTAAGTTTTCTGCTTTTGCATTTTAGAAAACTGTTCAAACGTTGCAAAGGTTTAGTGTAGTCTTGCACAATCTGTAAAATAATTTATGTGCCTACGTAAATTGAGTGTTGGAAARTTGAGGATTGGTTCTCAAAGACATAAATTGAATGATACTTGCCCTGAATTTGCCTGAAGGGAGTTTATGTGAGAATCTAAGCATGAGTAACTCCCAAATAAGTTATTTGGTAATTTTAATTGGTCTTGGAGACTACAGCAACCTTTTGATATGGGAAGAATGCCGTGGTTGCATCAGTGTACTCTCTGGTATGCTGTCCGCAAGAGACTCTCCTTCCTGCTGACTGTATCTTTGGTAGGATATAGCAATCCCAAACCAGAAAGGGATTCTGTGTATTTGTGATGCCTGAGACTCAAGGGGAAAACTAGTAAAAACTTGAGGTCTTGTAGGTAATTATGTCCACGAAGAGTGGGCCTGAAGCCATTAGTAGTTGCACGCTATTTTCTGAGTGCCTTTTTCCTTATGAAATTTGTATGTTAAAGCTCCGCTCTCTTCTCAAATGTCAGCTTGGAACGATGAGCTACTGACTTAAGGTGTTGGGTGGTGATATTTAGACTGCTCCTCTGTATTGCTTCTCACTGTGGGCACCCTCTTTCCAGAGATTCCCAACAAGATAAATGCCTAACCTGTATTTATTTATTTATTTATTTATTTTCCTCTCTCTCTTTAGTGTTGATAACATGATGACCTGACTGTCCTGCCTATGCAGCACGGGCACTGATGGGAAAGGATCCAATATGAGTGTAAATGATGTTGGAGGCAGACGACGCTTTGAGGAGAGCGAGTACACGTTGCACATCTACCCCGGGAGCATCGCCGAAGGGACCATCTATTGCCCCATCACCGCCAGGAAAACCTCCACGGCGGCCGAGGTGATCGAGTCGCTCATCACCAAGCTCCAGCTGGAGAAGACAAAATGTTACGTCCTCGCAGAAGTGAAAGAGTTTGGAGGGGAGGAATGGATCCTCAACCCTACGGACTGCCCGGTGCAACGCATGATGCTGTGGCCTCGCATGGCCCTGGAGAACCGCATCAGCGGCGAGGACTATCGCTTCCTTCTGCGCGAGAAGAACCTCGACGGCTCCATCCACTACGGCAGCCTGCAGTCGTGGCTGCGCGTGACGGAGGAGCGCCGCAGGATGGTGGAGCGGGGCTTCCTGCCCCAGCCGCCGCAGAAGGACTATGACGACTTGTGCGGCCTACCGGACTTGAACGAGAAGACGCTCCTGGAGAACCTCAGAAACCGCTTTAAGCAAGAGAAAATCTACACCTACGTAGGCAGCATTCTCATCGTTATCAACCCGTTCAAGTTTCTACCTATTTATAATCCCAAATATGTTAAAATGTATGACAACCACCAGCTGGGCAAGCTGGAGCCGCACATTTACGCGGTGGCGGACGTGGCCTACCACGCCATGCTGCAGCGCAGGAAGAACCAGTGCATCGTGATTTCGGGCGAGAGCGGCTCGGGAAAAACCCAGAGCACCAACTTTCTGATTCACCACCTCACCGCCCTCAGCCAGAAGGGATTTGCTAGCGGAGTGGAACAGATTATTCTTGGAGCTGGACCAGTGCTTGAGGTAAGATGAACATGATAGTACTATGGAAACGTTTCCTTTTTTTTTTTTTTTCCTAATTGTGTTATTTTAAAAACAAAAAAATCCAAGAAGTTGTGGTTTTATTATGAGACTAATCTGAGGTTATCCGGTAAATGTTGATAATAAAGCAGCAGYGGTACTAGCCGTAAGAGGAGATTGCTTCTCTGCCTGAGAGTACTGGCGGCAAAGATAAGGTGCAGCAAATGGCTTTTTGGCAGGCTTAGTAATGCATTTATTTTCAGTCAGGTGTTCTTTACTGCTGGTGTGTGTCAGGGATTCTCAGTTTGAGAAATTCGTAAAGGTATGAGAAAAGCTTCCTTTTATAAAATGGACTTTTGTCCACTTTATAAAATCAGCTGAAAGCRAAGTTCCTTGCACAGAGTGCATAGGTGGTGCTATCCTGGGAGAGTTTCTCTGCCCTTGGCATCGCTGAGATGGGAAATGGCTCAAAACTAGTTTAAATAAGTCAAGGATTTATGTTTTGGTCCTTTATTATTTATGTGTGTGTGTGTACTTGAGGTTTAGCCTGTGTGATTGGTTCCTTGATGAGAACTTTGGGGAGATTAGATCTCCCCAAATTAGATCTCCCCAATTAGATCTAACTTGAGGAGATTAGATGAACTGGGCCATTAATTTCCGAGATATGAAAGTCCCAATGAGGGATGTGAGTATTATTTAATTTGTTCTCAAGTTTATTGCATAATTCTGTGGAATTGTTTTCCTCGGATTTGTCGGGGGCTTTTAGTTAGAGCTTTGCTCGTTAGAGCCGTCCTGCACGCGGCTACGCATGCGTCTGCCTTGGGTGCCGGGAGCGTCGGATTTGGGAAACGTGACTCCAGCTGTGACACATTTCCCCTTTGAAAGGGGATACAAAGCGGAGGCTTTCCAAGAACGGGCAGCTGCTGTTGGCTGTGCAAACACTCCTCCCTCTTGTCCAGAAAGCTTGTGCTTCCCTCATCGCCTCTAAATGAACTCGCATCCGCCTGTGCGCGCCGTGTGTTGTGGCCGGTGACTGGTCACACAGCCGGGCTGCACAGCGAGAGTCTCACAAGTGGGAGCTATTCTCGTTTCGAGCTGTGGTTTGGCGCTTGGGCCTTGTCTTGCGAAAGGGTGCGACGGTGCAAATGCATCTGCCTTGTTTGTGTCTGTTCCCTCAACGAGCCCGAGGGTTGGGGTCAACTGAAAGCACCAGCAGACGCCTGGGAGCCGAGGAAGGGCCAGCGCCGGAGGCTTTGCGCTTGGGGACGTCTCCACTCGGGAGACGTGACCAGCTTCATCTTGAAGAGCCTACGAGTTTTTTTCTCTTTTCACATCAGCAAATAACTAAGTTATTTTGGGCTGGTTTTGTCCTGAAAAGAAGCAAAGATTCATAGCAAACTGAAGCTGGATAAATAAGACATGTCATCTTGTGATGTTCTTCGTGAAGCTCCCTTGTGTTAGTGTTCTCAAAGCACACAGTCATATACGGTCCTATTTTGCCCAGTGTTTCTTCTGTTGGCTTGAAAAGGGTTGTGGAGCTGTTTCTTGCTGGAGTAAAGTATTGGCCCAGGCCCTAGGAGTGCGTGCTTAACTCATTGCTGTTGTCAAACCAAGCTTGATTCRTCTTCAGCCCCTTTCAGGAGGAAAAACGGAGAAACCAGGCTTTGGATTTCTGCAAGGGAATGCCACATTTAAAACTGGGTCGCTATAGAGCAATAAAATTGTAGGCSATGAGTCTGCAGGAGAAGGCAGATCTCTGTAAAAGACTGAATGAACCAAAGCTCGTGATGTCTAGGTAGGCCTGGCATCTTTTGCAAAGTGCTCAGTGCTGTTAAACACCACSTGCAGCCTTCTGAGCGTGATGTGCTTTCAGTTTGTGCTCTATGTTTGAAGACCAAGCACCTGCTCAAGGTGCTCACGCTTCCCAGCTTTCATCTCGCCACACTTCCCAGCTTCCAACATCTCAGCACGCTTCCCGGCTTTCTGCATCGCTTGCGGACAAGCAAGGTGGTGTCCAGACACCAGAMGTAGAGGCTCCCCATGAGCTGCAGTGTTGCTGACTTTGTCCTATGATGCCTGTTGTTTCATACCATTTAAGAGGGAGTTAAATACAAGCAGTTTTAGTACGGTGCAATTAGAAAGATCCTGATTATCAGGACTTGCCGCGGTAAGTCTCTTGTTTCAGGATGGAGCTTTCTAGATGAACCTGCTTTGCTCTTGGTTGGGGAGAGCTGTGCCAATAGGCGCTGCTAAGGCGCTCTCAGCGACCACCAGCCGTGTTTGTGCTCCTTCTTCCTCTGGTCTGTTCTCTGTGCTGGAGTCGGGCACGGGGGAAGGATGAAATAAGGCTTTCCGCTCTCCTTTCACTAGATCTGCAGCTGTCTTTACAAAAAAAAAAAAAAAAAAAAAAAGTCCAACATCTGACACGTGCTGGATTCAGGGAATCATGTCCGTGAGCTCCTCTGCTTTGGGAGCAGCAGTTTGCATTCTTGTGGCTTGGGCAGATGGACTCTAACGAGCCCTAACGAGTGCTGCTATCCTGCGAGCGGTTTGCTGATTGCCCTTGCTGCAATTCCTTGCACTTGCACTTGGAATAGACTCACTCCTTTAAGAGGGGACGTTACACTTATGTATTTTTGTTTTGTTTTCTTCCCTCTTTTTTCCTTCTCCCTTCTTCCAGAAACTTTCTTGGATCCCCTTGTTTGCCTTCTGCCTGCTTAAAATGAACTTGGTCTCCCTTGCCCACGTGATGCTTTTGGGGAGTGCTGTCAGAGCACGTGGTTGTGGTCACCCAAATGCAGCAATGACTTGAGTTGCAAGTGTGTGCTCGGCTCCTTGGCCTTCTTCTGAAAATAGGATTTGATGTAGAAACTGGTGCTTTGGGAATGGTTATTTTTGTACCACAGCAAAACTTTTAATGCTATTCAGTAGTGTGCAGTTGCATTCAAAGAAATTGTTTTTAATTCTGTGTAATTATGGCATTATAAGAAAAATGGGGTTCACCATTTATTTGGTGACAAATGGTATTACCTAAATTCTGTACTGAAGAAAAAGACCAAATTGATATTAAAAAGATGATTTTCCTTATGTTTTTCCTATGTGTTTCTCCCAATATTGTCTGAAGCATTTTTCCCTATACAAGATGGCTTTTTTTCTCATCTGGCATAAGCAGAGCTGAGTTTGCCAGTTTGGCGCTCTGGTTTTGGGGCTGATGCTCTCCAAATGAAGTATTTTATTTAGCTGCTGGGGGGGAATTGCATGTGCTAACACATGCAGTACTTGCTGTGTAATTCAGTTCAGTTTCTGATGCACTTTGTACGAGACTTCGGATGAAAACTTAATTATTTTGAGGCTGATGCTCCATCAGGGACCTGGAGTGAAAGACTTTGCTGCTTAATGACTATATAGAGAGATTGTTTGCTTTTCATTTAGATGTCGACCCAACTATTTAATAACAAAGCATCAAGGAAATGTTCTTTAAATTTTAAATCTCTTTAAATCTCAATTCTAAGCACTGCAGTTCTTACATTGCAGTATTTAATTTGGGGCCAGGAGCTTGATTCCGGAGACTTTTCCATGTGATATTCCTGGTCCTCATCCTTGTTTGTAAGTCTTGAGGAAGATGCGCTTTGGCGGAGCAGCCCTCCAACTTGGTGGCGTAGATGGGATTCACAGGATTAATTCACTTCACTGCAGATTCCCAGGTCAAAATCCAATTAAACAGGTCAGAGCTAATTGACCAGAACAATTCRAGTCTCTTATAATAAAACAACAACATTTTTGGGGGGAGGGGGAAGGAGGCTGAAAGTCTCAAGTTGTGTAGACCATCCTCTCCCCACTCCTGCCGTGATCTCATGTGGTACCAAAACTTGCTGTTCTCATTGCTGTAACTATTGAGCTCTTACAGCCTAGGACAGGATTTGAAGCTTGTCAGCTTCAACGCTCAATTGCAGAATATTTTTTGAGAAATGCATACGCCGTGGAACCAGATTGGGGTAAGTTCCCTCCTACCTTCAGACAGCACCGCTTTGGGTAGGCCTTGAGCACCAAAGTGCATAATGTTGGCTTTGCTTAGACACCTCTCCCATTTCTAAATAAAGGAGATGGGAATTGTCAGTTGGAGGGAAATACTGAACTAAGCATGCAGAGGGTCTAAACTAAGCCAGGCAAGAAGGGCAAGTCGGGATTTCTGGATGTGGTGGTTCAGAGCTCAGTCCTTCTCAAGAGCTTTAGATATTACAGCAAGGCTTTCAAGGTGCTATGCTGTGAGGAAGCCTAGATCTCCTGTCCTTCATTCTCTGCTTCAGGCTTTTAAGTTGAGACATGGATTGCAATGGTGTGTTGCCCTGTGACCATGCGATGTTTTCATTTTTCAAGGTCCACTAGAGACATATCCTGCCCATGTAAACCCTTGGGAGAAGTCTAAAAGGCAAGTCTTATGCCCTGGATTTTAGGGCCCAGCCTGCTGGAAAATAGCTTTTGTTTTGGCTTTCACGTGCCTACTAGTCTTACTTGTTGGCTCTTGTTTTCTGGAGGAGAAACAAGAACTTCCTTAATGTCTCAGGGATGGACCTCGATGCTGGTGGGTGCTCTCAGCTCTCATCGCTGCATCTTGCAGGGGACAAAGACAGACAAGAGATATTTCATTTTTTTTTTTCCCTTGTGCTGGCCTTAGGTAGAAGATAAAGGAGTGTCTAAAAAATCTCAACTATTTATTTACTTCTGAAGTCTTGTCTGGACTGTAGGGGAGGTTGGTACCTGCTCTACAGACCTTCAGGAGGRGGAATGAAGGTCCCTATGGACCTTCAGCCCATTCTCATGCCTCCCTGGTGCTGCTATTAGCTTCATATCTCTGCACCTTTGAGCATTTTTCACTCACTRTAATTTTACTTGCGCTTTTGATCAATGTGACCCTTCAAAACCTAAAGCAAGAATGTCATAGCTGGTTTTGTTTTGGGACACTAAAACAAACGGTTCCAAAGGYCAAAAAGGTTCCAAAAAGG